GAGAGAGAGAGAGAGAGAGAGAGAGAGAGAGAGAATATAAAGAGCTCTTGAGAGAGGAGAGGATGAGATGGGAGAAGGGAGATAGGGTCATTTCAGCAGAGTCAAGTAATGATTCTCTGTAAGGCAAAATAATTTAAAAAGCCTAACCTGCCCTCCCACCCCACGTACTGCTGTGAGATTGCCCCTATCCTGTGCTCCTCTGTCTGCAGTGTGCACGGCCTTGTTCTAACCCTGGAATAAAGGTGACTGATTGTACTGTACCTAACTGATTCTAGAATTTCTGTGAAATGGCCAGGATTTTGGAGCCTTTGGATGGCTGGGAAGGGAGGGAGAGCAATATTTACCCCCCAAATCCTTAACTGCAGCGTGGAACAGAGGTCAGGAAAATACCCCTAATGGTGTCTTTTCCCTTCCCCATCTTCTAGGTATTACTGAATTATGGGGCCAATTCCACTTACACAGTCTCCAACTGGAGCCCAACCACTGGAAACATGCATATCCCACCCTGGACTTCCTAAAATTGTAGTAAATGCAGGGCTAGGCACCTGTATTGGAAGGGGCAAAAAATAGCCCATCACGAATGAATGGCCCACATACCACACACAGAGCAGCAATCAGAAAAAAAAAAAAAAGCTTTACTGAGAGAAAACACACAACAAATTCCAGAGTGCATGGTTTTCAGCCCACTCCACCACCCCACCAGCAATAAGAACACAGACCACTCAGTCACCACACATTCCCTACCTCACGGAGGAAGTGCAACAGCTAACATCTGGTCTGAGCTGCTAGGAAAAGGGGCAGGAGGAAGGAGTGTCTGGGAATTCCATCCTTTCACTCTTCCCTTCCTTCCTGGCCTGTTCTAGTAGAATGTGACTGTCCCAGGATGCAGAATTCCTGGCTGGGGACAAAGAAATAGCAGCAAAAGCATTTAAGGGCAAGAATTCAACTGGGACTTTGATTGATATTCAGTGACCAGTGATAAGACAGGTGTCTGAGCCCCAGCCACCTTAATCAATCCTTAGATTAATGACTTGTCCTTCAATCCCAAGATATCAAAAGGTGGACAAGGTAAAAAAATCAAACCCAGGAGGTTTTTTCCCTATACTTTTCCATTAGGAAGGGAGCTGGTGTAGAGTTGGATGGCTTAAAGAATCAAGCAGCTAAAGGTAAGACTGAGTGTGTCTTCTGTCACACACAGTACTAGGAGAGACCGTCTGCAGTGGCAGAACCCTTCCTGAAGTCATAGTTCAGTCAAGTTTTAAAGATGGGCCAGTCTCTGGTTAGAAAAGCCATCCTGGGAACCCCGACAAGTATTACGGAGAGGTAGGAGATCTGAGGCAAAGAGCTGAAAGGGGTTTCCCAACCCTGAAACCATGGTAGGAAAGCAGGGAAGGGCAGAATTCAGGATCCTTCCATTCTTAAGCCAACTAAAACCTAAGGGGTAAGCCCCAATCTCCAATGGCCAAACACAGAAGGAAGGCTTGATCCCAAGTGACATCTCCACATCATTACTCTCTCTCTCACTCTCTCCTGTAAGTCAAGTCCCTTTATTGCAGTCATAGAGAATATATAGGTATTTAAACTTTGACAATAATTTTAATGTGATACATCCAATTTTGACTTGCTTTTTAATATATTTATAGATATAAAATTAGGCCTCTAACAGTGATAGGGACAGGGAGATTGCTGCCACCAAAAAACTTAAAAAACAAAACAGAAGAGGTAACATCTTTCCTATTCTTCTACTTCTGCCCCTCCTCCCACCGCCCTCCAACCTCCCTCACCAGACCTATGAGGGGGTGATGGGATGAAGAGAGTGAAGGGTACATAATCAAGTGCAGAAACACTGTGATAAGTACAGAGGATGAATGGGGTGGAAAGGGAAGTGAAGAGTGTGGGATAGTTAGGGGCTCTAAGGACTTCCCAGAAAAACAGGATCCTGGGATGAGGTTGCTCAGGGGAAAAGAAAAAACAATGCAACTGTCATAGACTTTTAAAAAATAAAGAAAATAAAGTCAAAAACCTAAACCAAAGAGAGAGTGGCACTTCTACCACCCCCAGTCTGGCCCCTTGGTACTGAACAGTCAGTTATCCCCCCACCCCCCACCCAAGAAAATAAGAGAGATTAAAGAAAAGGAATCCCCATTGCCTACACCAAACCAGTTAACAAAATAGGCTCCCCCCTCCCAAAAAAAAAGGCTTTGGGGAGAGGCCATTTCTGCTGAGTCCTATGCACCTCTCCATGGAACCCCACTCCAGGGCTCGACTCCCACTCCTAGGTACTCTCTGTAGGTTCACTCCCTTCTGGCTTGTCCTCCTGGGATGTCTTTTTTTTTTTTTTTTTTTTTTTTTTTTTTTAATATCTAAAGCAAAAAAGTCCAAAGTGCGTTTCTGCTGAATATAAGGACCTGGGACAGGAAAAGGGCTGCCCAGGCAGGATCAGGTTGGCAGCCCCAGCCCGTCCTTCCTGGGTACGAGGCCTCATGATGGCATGCACTGCACCCGGTCAGGGCCCTCCTCGTCCGATGTGTCTGAGGAGCTGGGAGACTCATCCGAGTCTGCATCTGTGGCCCCAACCCCAGGTTCTCGCCAGCGCTGTAGGATGGGAAAGGTTTATTAGTAACTTCCCTGGAATAAGGACAAGCCTGTTAGGTCTTAGCTATAATTCAGATGCTCCAGGCCAGGGGTCAGCAGAATTTTTCTTAAAGGACCAGACAGTAAATATTTAAAAAATTTTAGATTCACGGGCTATATCTTGGCTGCAACTACTGCAGTGTGCTGTTGTGCTGTGAAAACAGCCACGGACAATTATAAATAAATGAGTGTGGCTATATTTCAATAAAACGTTATTTACAAAAAGCAGGCAGCATGCCAAAACTGCCATAGTTTGCTAACCCCTGCCCTAGGCCTCTTCTGGCACAAGATAAAAAATAGAAGGCACCCTGAATCATTTCTTCTCACCATCCCAACCCTCATGCCTTTGCCTTTATGAAGACAGCCCTGTGCATGCAGGGTGATGGGAGAATATAAAGCAGATACCACTTATTTCTGCTAATAGCTCTTCCAAGACTACATCCAGGCTCTGATGGGGATGGGGGATAACAGATAGGAAACCCAATCAACTCCACCTGATTCCTCCTAAAGTAGTGAGGAAGTGTGCACTGGAACATTTTACCCTCTTGAAAGAGTCACTGCCCTTGGAAGCTCACTTCCCAATCCAGCTTACTCGGTGATGGCGTCTCTGTCTCAGGTGATGCATGAGGAACCACAGCATGTGACTATCAAATAGGTCAGTGTGGTGCAAGCTGTCTTCATCCCGCTCCCGCTTGTTCTTCTTAATCACCTGGAACCGAACAGGGTGGGGGGAGTGGGCAATGAATGGGAACACTGGACCTGATCAGCAAAGGCTGGTGCTATAACCCAATAAAATCTTCCCTTAGGAACTGTTAAGCTGGAGTATAGCTGTATTAGATTAGGAAAGGATGCCCCAGGCTCATCCACTTAGAAGGCAGATGATTCTCCCTAAAGATGTCCCCTATCCCCACTCTACTATGAACTAGGGGCACTTCTGGACCCCTGGACTGGGACTGTTTCTAGAGAGGCAATGACAGGAATGTTGGAGAGGGTGTTAGAGCAGTGCATTTAAAGACCTGTTATTCCTTCCTATGACAATGAAAACTCCTAACAGTATGTGGATAAGTAGAAAGAAGAAATCTATGGTCAGAAACTTACATCCTTTAACCCTGTAAGCTCAGTGGAAGTTTCAGCTGTGGGTGCCCAGATCTTGACATCATGGTCTAGGCCACTGGTTGCCAGTACAGGCAGGTGAGGGTGGGGCTCAAGACAGTTTACCTGGTCGGGAGGAAAGGAAAACACAGGCTCAGGGGTATGTGAGAACAGGACTTAAAAACTACTCACCTTGAACCAAACAACTGTCCTTAATCAGGGCTGAGGCAGTTTCTGGGAAGGCAGGCTCACCCATCATGAGCTTAAGCCAAAGGGCCCTTGGGGTGAAAGAAACACTGGACACAGACTGGATGTAAGAGCAGGCCTTTCTCTCATTTCCTACATTTAGGTAGGGTGCCCTCATCCCCAGACATAGCTCTAGGGGTAGGCGGGTGACTGGACAAGCATACTGCTGGCTTTACAAAAAGGCAATGAGCTCCAGATGACCTCATTCTCTCCAGATTCCACAGCTCCAACTTGCCCAAGGCTGGAAAAAAACATCCCAGTGACTTTCACCAAGTGGCAAATAAATTTTTTAAAATGAAGAAAAGCAGCAGCTGCTGCTGAGCCCCCAGAGGAGAGTCAGAGAACAAGTACATTCACTTGGCATGGCTCACCAGCTCACCAGAACTGGAAGAAGGCACTGGT